TCAAATATAACTCAAAAGGAATAAACTCAAAAGATATAAACTCAAAAATAACTCAGGATATAGAATATAAAATATAGAAAATAGGAAAGAAAACCTGGGAAAAATACAATAAAAATAGAATAAAAACTTAAGAAAAACTTAAAGAAAACACTATAAAATCACTATAAAAATACAATAAAAAGAGCATATACATGGTAGTAGGTATTTGGACAAAGGTATATTATTATTTAACAGAGAAAAGATTAAAAAATAAAGTTAGGACCTAGCAGAACCCATTCTGCTTTAGGCAAAGGATAGAGTTTTTATATCTTTTAGAACTCTATATAAGAATAAATAATATTTTGTATTAATGGGTTTGTGTCAGTATCAATAGGTCTGTACCAACAGATCTGTATCAACAGGTCTGTGTTAATAGGTCTGTACTAACAGGTTCTATGGCACAGGGTAATGGATTATTATTTATTATTTTCTATAATTATATATCTTTAAATCTTAATAACTTGTTAACTATTAACCTAATTAACAAATGATAAAAACTATGCTAAGGAAATTGATATCAAGAATTCCATTGGTATAATCAGATTTGTACTACAATTAGAAATTATACAGAGTTATTTAATGCAATTTAAAAAATACTAATATATTACTAATATAACAACATTATTGAATATTATAGATATAGATATTGGACATTGCCTAAAATTGTCCAAGTCCAACAATTTTACTTAGACATTTGTCCAAGTACATTACTGCCAACGGGTCTGTACCAACAGGTACCATGTCATGGGGATGACAGATTATTATTCATCACCTTTTATAGTTATATATCTTTAAATCTTAATAACTTATTAACTATTAATCCAATTAACAAATGGTAAAAACTACACTAAGGAAATTGATATCAAGAATTTTATTGGTGGAATTAGATTTGTATTACAATTAGAAGTTACACGAAGTTACTTAATAAAAATTTAAAAAATACTAATATACCACTAATATAACGGTGCAAATCATCTAATCGCATCAAAAATATAATAAATGTTGTGCCACTAAGCAAATCAGAAATAATATTGATAATTATGGTACATGACACAATAATTAATTGCATATATTCCAGAACACAACTACATATGTAGTAGTTTCTAGAATGTATACAAAAAAAATAACCAATTTCAAAAGTTATTTCCCTACCAACTCATTTCCCTAACACTTATTACAATTTTTGCCTGATTATAACTTTACAAAATGGGCCAGGATGTAGTTTATTTTTTCTTGTATCACGTGATTAGATTGATTAGATGTATAAAATTTAATTATTTTTAAAACTTTGAGTGAAGCTTTCTTGACAACCACCTAATAAATTTTGACAAACTTTTTTTATTTGAATTCTACAGGTTTGTAAATTAAAATAATAATATAAAATTTATTATAAACACTGTATACATATAGTACATACTGTAAAGTATATAGTTTATTTAATTCACTTATATCGTGCAAATATATAGCTTATAATATACATAGTATATATTTATTGAATTAAAAATTTTTAAAATACAAATATATATATTTAAGAAAGAATTTTTTTTAAAAAAAAAATTTCTAAGTACTTAAGTTTGAAGTCTTTGTGAATACTAATTTAAAAATATGATATATGTTATAATTAAATTATTAATATTTAAATTCAAATAACTATTATACATATCACTTATTTAACAAAACAAAATATACTATGAGGTTTGTTATTTTTAATTCTATATTCTAGCTCTGATCACGTCTTATTCTTAAGAGATCTCAGATTTAGAGGCCCTCAAGAATGACCATATTGTCTTTTGATTTTGGACCAAGAAGTCCCATAGTGATGCATTTTGGATTTTAATACTTTAATTTCTGTTTCTGTTCATTGTTGTTTTCATTATTGTTATTTCATACTATAATATAAATATTTTCAATATACATAGCAATAAGAGTTATAATAAATTTTTTAAATAACTTACTTTACAGGGGGACTTTCATGTGAGCTTATGGAAAGACTTTCACGTGGGCTTACGGAGAAACTTTTGCGTGAGCTTACAGGGAACTTTTACATAGGCTTACAGAGAAACTTTCGTGTGGGCTTATGGATGAACTTTCACGTGGGCTTACAGAAGAACTTTCATGTGGGCTTACAAGGGGACTTTCGCATAGGCTTATGGGAGACTTACGTGTAGGTTTATAGAGGACTTACGGAGAAGTCTTCACTTATACTATAATATAAAATACAATACTTTTATATACATAGCAACAGAGTCCCAATAAATTTTTTTAAACTTACTTTAGACTCTCACTTACAAGAGAAATTATAGTAAAAGCCATCAGTTATATTATTTTTAATATACATAGCAAGAGTTCTAATAAATTTTTTAAATAATCTTACTTTGGGTCTTCACTTACAGGAGAACCTTTACTTATGAAGGGGCCTTCGCTTATAGAGGGATCTTTGCTTATAAAGGGGCTTGTTGGAGAGCTTCTGATAAACCATAAAAGAAACTTTAACATTTTGAGGATCTAATATTCTGATATGATTAGTTGGTTGTGAGTATTTAAAAATATGACTTATTTTGACTACTCAAATTTCAAGATCAGGTGTAACTAAAAATATTAGTTTTAGATTCATTCATCTAATTGGCTAATGTAAAACAATTGCTTGGATAACTAATTTATACATACACTTTAAAGTACTTTTTGGAAACATAATGTTTTATAAAAAAATCTTTATATATATTCATTATATGTGCAAAAATAATCAGGAATAATCAATAACCCGAGAATTTTATTTGGAAAACAAAGTATGCCTACCATTTACCGGACCATATTATCATACTTGCTGTTTCGTATTGGTCTTATTAGATAGCAATAACCAATATTATGTCTTTTTAGCATATCCATTTTACTGATTCTTGAATATTGCTTTGTATTCATTTCTTTCATCGCCAATCTATTTAAATAACAATAGCTAAGATTATCAGAATCAAAACACTAATAATTATATATATAATACCAGCTTTGTTATAATCTTAGAATAACCCTAGTTATGATCAAATAAACTCATTTTCATAATAGCAAAAGAAGAAGCCTAAAAAATGAAAAACAAAACTTACTGGCAAAATAGTGAGATTTCTGGTAAAAGGCGAATCTCTAAAACTCTTGACAAAAGTCAAATCTTCTACATAAGATTAGATAATAATCCAAGCTGATTAAATTTTTATAGCTATATATTAGAGATTATCAACTAGGTATTAGATTACCCAGTCATATATATCACTGTGAATGGGAGAGAAACATATGTATGTATCTGATCCCATACGTGGTGTGATCAATTAAAGCTAATCACTCCATGTGTAGAATGTACTTCTCAAATCTATGCCAGGTTATGTCGATTACTGAATTGAAAAAACATTAAGAGCAGATTTTAATTTACTTTATATTTGATATTTAGGTATACTCATATGACTAAAATTTCATACTGAAAACTTTTGTTTAGAAGTTAAACTACAGTTATTATAGTAAAATCTTAAGTTATTTACGATTTTCTGTTTTCTCATTGAAAAAGCAGAAAAATCATAAATAACTCAAGATTTTACTATGATAATCATAGTTTGACTTCTAAACAAAAGTTTTCAGCATGAAATTTTAGTTATATAAGTATATTTAAATATCAAATATAAAGTAAATTAAAATCTGCTTTTAATTTTTTTTCGATTCAGTAATCGATATAACCTGGCACAGATTTGAGATATGTATGCATGTGGGATTCACTTTGAATTAGATATATTCTCTCTTGTTGCAACTGTATAACTTGCCAGGTTCACGAATCAATTTCAATAACAAAACAAATATTTTTTTTTATAGGTTTAATAAGAGTTAAAATTATTTTCTAATAATAATATTTATCCTTTAAGGTTATAATGCACTTACTACATATATGTATTGTCGTGTGCAAGTGGTGATACTATTGTGACCGTATAATATTACTAGGGTCCTTTAGTTTGAGTTGCTGAGGCTAATTTATCTCTCTTTTTTTCTTTATAGATTTATGATGAATTGAAATTATCTTTTAATAAGTAGCATTTATCCTTTAAGATTATACACTTGCTATAGCGTCGTGTGCGAGCAGTAATTCTTTATAGATTTATGATGAATTGAAATTATCTTTAGTAAGTAGTATTTATCTTTTAAGGTTATAATACACTTGCTATAGCATCGTGTGTAAGCAGTGATTTATTGCGACTATATATATATTTTACTAGCTGAGGTCCTTTTAGTTTGAGTTTGCTAGTGCTAATTTTTTTAATTTTTATTTTCTCTTTTTTTTTTTAGATTTGATAAATTGAAATTATCTTCCAGTAAATAGTATTTATTCTTTAAGATTATAATACACTTGCTATAGTGTCATATACAAACAGTGATTTTATTGTAACTATATACATATTTTACTAGCTAGGGTCCCTTTGGTTTGAGTTTGCCAGGGCTAATTTTTTTATTTTTTATTTTCTCTTTTTTTTTTGATTTAACGAATTGAAATTATCTTCCAGTAAGTAGTATTTATCCTTTAAGGTTATAATACACTTGCTATAGCATCATGTGCAAGCAGTAATTCTATTGCGACTGTATACATATTTTACTAGCTGGGGTCCTTTTAGTTTGAGTTTGCCGGGGCTAATTTATTTTTTCTTTTTTTTTTTTTTTTTTATAGATTTATGCCGAATTGAAATTATCTCTAGTAAGTAGTATTTATCCTTTAAGGTTATAATACACTTGCTATAGCGTCATGTGTGAGCAGTGATTCTATTGCAACTGTATATATATTTTACTAGCTAGGGTCTCTTTAGTTTGAGTTTGCTGGAGCTAATTTTTTTATTTTTTATTTTCTCTTTTTTTTTTTTAGATTTGACGAATTGAAATTATTTTTAATAAGAAGTATTTATCCTTTAAGATTATAATACACTTGTTATAGCGTCATGTGCAAGTAATGATTCTATTGCGACTATATACTTATTTTACTAGTTGAGGTCCCTTTAGTTAAAGTTTGCTGGGGCTAATTTTTTTATTTTTTATTTTCTCTTTTTTTTTTTTGATTTGATGAATTGAAATTATCTTTTAGTAAGTAGTATTTATCCTTTAAGGTTATAATATACTTGTTATAGCGTCATGTATAAGCAGTAATTCTATTGCGACTGTATACATATTTTACTAGCTGGGGTCCCTTTAGTTTGAGTTTGCCAGGCTAATTTTTTTATTTTTTATTTTCTCTTTTTTTTTTTTTAGATTTGACGAATTGAAATTATTTTCCAATAAGTAGTATTTATCCTTTAAGAGTATAATACACTTGCTATAGCGTCATGTGTAAGCAGTGATTCTATTGCGACTGTATACATATTTTACTAGCTAGAGTTCTTTTAGTTTGAGTTTGCCGGGGCTAATTTTTTTATTTTTTATTTTCTCTTTTTTTTTTTAGATTTGACGAATTGAAATTATCTTTTAGTAAGTAGTATTTATCCTTTAAGGTTATAATATACTTGCTATAGTGTTATGTGCAAGCAGTGATTCTATTATGACTATATACATATTTTACTAGCTAGGGTCTCTTTAGTTTGAGTTTGCTGGGGCTAATTTTTTTATTTTTTATTTTCTCTTTTTTTTTAAATTTGATGAATTGAAATTATCTCCAGTAAGTAGTATTTATCCTTTAAGGTTATAATATACTTGCTATAGTGTCATATGTGAGCAGTGATACTATTGCAACTGTATATATATTTTACTAGCTAAGGTCCCTTTAGTTTGAGTTTGCCAGGGTTAATTTATTTTCTTTTTTTTTTTTTTTTATAAATTTATGCCAAATTGAAATTACCTTTTAGTAAGTAATATTTATTCTTTAAGATTATAATACATTTGCTATAGCGTTATATGCAAGTATTGATACTATTGTGACTATATACATATTTTACTAGCTAAGGTCCCTTTAGTCTGAGTTTGCCAGAACTAATTTTTATTTTATTGTTTATTTTCTCTTTTTTTATATATAGATTTATGATAAATTAAAATTATCTTCTATATAGTATTCTTTAAAGTTATGTTTTGATACTATATATTGCGATTGTGCGTATACATATTTTACTAGTTAGGAACCTTTTAGTTTGAGTTAGCCAAGGCTAATTTATTTTATTGTTTAATTTTATTTTAAAATTATTTTAATAATGAAAAATTAAAAAATAATTAATTGATATATTATATATACTAAATTTTACATATTTTAATATATATATAACATTTAATTATGTTTAATTTTTTTTTTTGTTTATATAAAAAAAAAAAAAAAAACACTTCGATTCATATGTACCATAAAAGTTCATATACAAGATCTTTCAAAATAGTAGACCCACTATGAATTAGCCCGATATGAACCACAAAAACTTTATTAAATAAAATGTGGTATTTTTGAATAGTTGGAATGTCTATGTATTACATATAAATACAAAGTGTGTATGCACTTTGAATTTTTTTCTTTTCATGATATGTATAACCTCTGGATGAGTACTACGTAGACTCTGGGTCTACGTACTATATAAAGGATTTAAAAATTAGTAGAGTAAAACAGATGCAGGTCTTGTATATGAACTTTTATAATAATTTAACTTGCTATATAAAATTTTTCTGCATAATTAAATTTTCTATTTCAATAGAGTTCATATACATATCTTAACAAAACTTGTAATTTAATAACAAAATAAAATAAAATAAAAAATGCCAAAACAAAATAAATGCACAAGATAGTTTTGAAAAGCTATTACTATGTATTGGAAAAATAAATCTTCCTCACAACATGTTAAATCAATTAATGCTACTTTCAACGAACCTATAGTACTTGATTCTATTAATCAAAATCGACCTACAGTTAATAGTTCATCAAATAAGACCCTTGACAGTAGTGCTAGTAATGATAATTCTATATTATTATCACTAAATGCACAATTAAGAATAGAAACTGTCGATCTATGCCTTAATATAACAAGACAATTTCTCCATCTTGTCCAGAAAGGATACACAAAGATAGAGGCAAGTAGTCTTCTGGCTATGAGTTTAGGTAAAGGCCCATGGCATGCATGGTGTATTCATGCCTAGGCAAATCAATAGAAGAATAGCAAAGAATTAATAAAGTCGAAACATGGCCGATATATAAAAACAAAAACTTTAATACATAATAAAAGTTTTCAGCTTCAAATAAATCAGTATTTGGAGAAAAATAAATTTAAATTAACCATTCCAAATTTTATAAGCTATGTTAGTAGTATTATGCCTACTTTTGAAATCATGTATAATACAACTATTAGTAGATCAACTGCATGCAGATAGTTAAAATTACTTGGATAGAAATACCAAACCTATTCAAAAAAAATTTATTTTGATAGCCATGAATATAAAGATGTGGTAGAATTTAGAAAATGTTTTCTGCAAAAGATGGCTATATTATGAAAACGAATGGCCTTATACAAAAGTGAAGGATTAAACCGTATCCTGCCAAAACTTTATCTCAAAATAGTTCCTGTTACTCAAAATGAAACTACTCTTTATGCAAATGATGGTGTGAAGAAGTATTGGAGCCTATTAGATAAATATAGCCTATGGAAAAAATCACTAATAAGAATCAGAATTAACTTGCATTCTTTAGTCGACTAATTAGTTGACTAAAATTTTTTTAATTACAGGATCAAAGTATCCACATTAGTGATTTTTACTGTGAATCTATCAGACATCTCAAACTTTCAAAATATGAATGTGAAATAAATAGTTTACTTCTTGATCACTTGCGTCTTAAATATACCTATGCATGTGTTGCTATCTATCCAGGTATAAATTGTGATAGTTGGTGAAATAGTGATAATTTAGTTGATCAGGTAGTTAACTGTATCATCCTAATATTTAAATGAACACACCCTGGCAAAACTGCTCTATTCATGTTTGATAATAGTAATAATCATGGTATATTTGCTGAAAATGCTCTCTTGGTCTCAGAAATGAACATAAGAGATGATAGTAAAAATAGAAAAGGTAAAGATAAAAAACCTCTTCATAATGGTATGATGCCTAATGGCTCTATACATATAATGAATTATGTAGATAGTAATAATATAACAAGACCTAAGGAAATTAGATAGGTTCTTCAAGAATGAGGTTTATAAATACCAGGTCTTATAAAAAAGTGTAATAATTATAAAAAAAATAATTCTGATCCAAACAACCCAAAATGTTGCACTTCGTGTATTCTTTTAGCTCAACTTGACTTTGCAGCTCAAAGATCATGCTTAAGAAAGGTAAATAAGTTTTTTTTTTTTTTAAAAAAAAAAAAAAAAATTATTTAAAAACCATTATTTACATATATATAAATAATTTAAGTAATTGAAGATGCCAACCACAAGTATATCTTTTATTCTAAGTTCCATTGTGAACTTAATTTCATTGAGTCTGTTTGGGCTGAGGTAAAACATTATACAAGACTTAATTGTAATTACACTTTTAAGGGCCTCAAAAAAACAGTTCTAGAAGCATTGGATTCTGTTGATTTAATAAAGGTTTGCTGGTTTGCTTACCATTCTCAACATTTTATGAGTGCTTATGAATTTGGACTTTCTGAAAAAGCTACTGAATTTGCAGTAAAGAAATATTGTTCTTATCATTGGATTCTAAAAAAAGTTCTTGAAGAAATTGAAAAATTCACTCATAATTAAAATATTTTGTCTTTTTTTTCTTTTTACTCTGAAAAATATGTATTTAAAATTATTCACTTTGTCTTAAAATAAATTGTAATAAAAATCATTCTTCGTATTTTCTTGTACCCGTGATCTTGACAAATTTGTACTATCGATTTTTAGTAAGAAAAAAAGAAAGAGAGTATCAATTATTAGCTCAAACCTCTTTTATATTGAAAAATGTAATATTGATTAAAGTCTGATCAACATCATTGTTATATCAATTAACAATACCAATATATTTTTGCCCCCATGACGTGATGTGACAATTGTTAAGAATCTTAATGATTGAAGTTGAATACATATTAAGAAGAAGAGTTTTTTTGACAGTCAATTAAAGTATACAAAACAACCAGTATATATAAACTTCAAGAATATACTTATCCTAAAATCTAGTTATGCTGCAACAAGGCTCATAAGCCTTGGAGCTTAAACTAAGTCTTTTAATACCTTCATCTCAAAGTTTTAAAAGACTTGAGATGAATAGCTCTATTCTTCGGTGTTTAGTTTAATTCGATAAGCTTTTTTCTATAATTAAACCAAAAAAAAAAGTTCATTAAACTTGATCAGATAGGTGTCAAGATAGATATCTTTGACATCCACCTGACCAAGTTCGATGAGCCTTTTTATTTGAATTTTACTAACTAAAATTTTAAAAGTATAATCTTATTAAAGCAAGGTTTGCTAACTCACTTTGCTGGGTTAAAGAAAAAAAAAGAATAGTATATAGTGCAAATATGATAGGATGATTATTACAGAGATTCTAAAAAACTAAATTTTATTTGTTCTAGAAACCTAATGGAATATGTAATATTTTTTTTTTGTAATACTATCAAAAATGGATTGTGTATCTATCTTTATATGGCGATGATACAATCACTTCTCCATATTAAGCCATATTAAAATTATATTATGTTTTTTTTAAAATCATATCTCCTCAATGAATAAGTCAAAATTTGCAAAAAAAAACTCGTAACTTTGTAAAACTTATATAAGAGTACAATATTATGAATTTTTTTTTGCAAATTTTTAAATATTCATTGAGAAGTTATGATTTTAGATGCTTTTAGATGACCTGCACCATACACAGAATTTTTTTTTAGCACCACAGAAAATCATTGGCCCTGCTCTAGTCCCAGCTGCTACAAGTAGAGTTTTGTTGTGTTTTAATATAGTAACTATATAGTTTTCATGGGTGTTTTGGAAAAGTTGATACAAGAGATTGTCAGGAAGAGTGTAAGATAAGCTTTATTATTAATACTTACAGTAAATTTTTATTATAATTTGCCACTCTGCGTGACAACGGCACGTGAGTTACGTAATCAATTTGTCCAATCAGAGTTAAGAAAATCATCATCCAATCAGACAGTGGAGGAAAGCCAGTGATAACAACCCTTCGCTCTAAATCACGTGGATACACGGCTTTAGCCATCCTTTTTTTGGGGGGTTCGTATCATTGCAGAATTATTAACAGTAATTGCATTTTTATTAAAAGACAAATACAATTATAGTCTATGCTATGTCATTATACGTACAGTATGTCAATATATTTACACTTTAATAAATTAACATCAGTTTAAATTATATAAATATGGTTCATTATTTTGATAAATTTAAATTTTAAAAATACTGAAAAGGTTATTCCTTCGTATACAGATTTTCTTTCACCTTTGTAATTTTTTAAGTATAAAAGCTTTTTACACAAAGATATAAGATAATTTATTTTTTGAGGGTAAAATTTTTGTGAGTAAAATTTTTGCGAGAATAATAAGCAACTCTCAGGATAGTATAAGATGCGGTTACGGATACGGATCTCGGATGTAATATGATACAAAAGTTGGCGATAATGATTGTGACGTAAAACTCATGACCGTTTATGAAACATGTATCAATGAACCTAGAAATGTGAAATTGTTAAAATATTATAAACAAAAAATAAGTCAAAAAAAAGCATACAATGAAAAAAAATAGTTACTTGTTGAAGAAGAAATTTTACGAATAGTTTGGCAATCCGAAGCAGTCACAAATGGTTTCAATGACTTACTGGTAAACACTGAAGCCGAAATTGTAGGTGGAGGCGGCAATAATATAGGCGCATCCGCTTGTATTTTAAATTGTTTTTTTGCCAAGATATCAGCATCCTTCAATTGTTTAACTAAACCTTTAGATTCAGGAGATAACTTGTTACATATAGGTTTATCATAAGATAAAATCCAATTTTCAATGATCTCTTGGAGGACACGCGCAGTTGGTCGTTTTTCATGGTTAGCATCCCAACAAATTGTCATCAGATCAACATAAAATTGTGGTATGCTTCTATCAATATCTGGACGAACACCATTGCATATGTCAGATACCAGATCTTTATCATGCTTATATTCAGAAAAAGGAGTTTGTCCGACGGCAAGTTCCCACATAATTAAACCAAAACTATAAATGTCAGATTTTTTGGTATAATAACCTTTACTAAAAACTTCAGGAGCTACATACGGCATTACGCCATATAATGGTGTAGAAAGATTAGGAATATAAGCTAATGATAAATCTAAAACAGCTTCACGTTCTGGATTTCTTCTTTTACCCAATAGATTTAAGAAAGGCTTTTTTTCTTCCAAAGTTTTTATTAGTATATTACCAGTATGTAAATCACCGTGGACAAAGTCACGAGAGTGAAGAAAATCTAGAGCTCTCGCGATATCCCGAAGCATGTAAATTTTGTCAGTCCAAAGTAAATGTTGTAGACTTATATATCCACGTAAGTCACCTTCATCGGCATATTTCATTACTAACATATAACCTTCCGTTGGATGTTGTGTCATGCCATAACAGCGGATCATGGGGGACCTTTGCGAAGCTGCATCTAAATACATAGTAATCTAAAGAGAAAAATTTATCAAGAATTGAAAATTATAAATAAAATGTAACAAATAAATAAATAGCCTTTTTTTTTTAGAAAAAAAAAAAAAGGAAAAAGACAAACCTGTTCTCTTAAGAATTCCGGATCAGAAGTACAACCATTGTGCAACCTCTTTAGAACAACATCGATTAAGTAGCTGTTTTCTAATTTATCCCATAAAGCACGATACACGGCTGAAAATCCACCGTTAGCCATATATTTCACTTGAGCCAAATTCTCAAAAGGAATCCATGAGAGGTAACATTCTTTGTTTAATGGTTTAGTTTGAGAGTTACGAATAAAATCATCGATATATTCGCTACCACTTGTCCATTCGCCAAACCTTTTTTGTAATTTTTGACCTTCGCAAGTTCTACACCAAGCTTTGTCGGAAAGTGACGTACCACAAGTTTTACATACACCGTAAAGTTTTTTATGTTTTAATTCTTCTTCGGTTGTATCAAATTGGTTTGAATGATTTGTTAATACGTCCTGTTCAGTTTTCACAGACTTATCCTAAAAAAAAATAAAAAAGAAAAAAAAAGAAAAAAAAAAGAAAAAAAAAGAAAAAAAAAAAGAAAAGGATATATAAACCAGTGATTAAAAAAATGGTAATAAAGAATTAAAAAAAAATTGATATACCTTAGGTCGTTTAAAGTAGTGACAACAAACAATAGAATTAAGTTTACTTGAATTTGTCATTATTATTTTACGGCAGAAATTTTCCTTTATCTAAAAGGTAATGGTGCCTAAGAATCTAAAAATGATAACGGTTAAAACGAAAGTGAGAAATCCTTGACACCTGCAGGAAATTTATCACTCTTTTATGAAAAACAAAAAGGAGGTAGGAAAAAAGTATGAAGGATCATGATCGTATTTTTTAAGTCGTGTCACGTAGCAGATCGTAGCTAAAAAAAAGTTTTTTTTTTATATAAATATAGATCGATTTAAGGGTTTCACACCGATATTTTCTGAGCTAATAATATTCGCTCGAAGATTTCCTTTTCGTAACGTGTCGTACGGTTTTTTTATCTTCTATATACATATATATATGTATATATCATGATATATTCACATAACTTTCATAAATTAAAAATTGGTCTATAATAAGTAGCCATAAAAAGGTATTATTTGATTGTACGCCTTATGTATACGTATATGCTACGTACATACCAGATACGATAATCCACATCTATTGTAAAATAGAAAATCTATTGTTATGCGTTATTATTTTACTACTTTAGGATATATATTATATAATTACATATAATTACATTAACTACAAAGTACAGATGTACAGTATCATGTAATTTTAATAATTAGCAAAGTTTAATTTATTCAGGAAGAGTTCGTTCTTCAAAACTTCTTGGCAATAAATTCATAGACTAGTTCATATGTAAGATTCAAATTTTGTTTTTTGTCTTTTGACAAGCTCTCAAAATACATTACAAATATTTCATCATTAATGAAAAAATAATTCTCGGGTATATATGCACATTATTAATCATTATTAATTTTGATATCGACGGACGCATTCTAATTATATAAAAAATTCAATGCGTGTCTTCATGAAAATCAAAAATATTTTTCACATATTCAGTATGATTATCAATCTCTACACAATGAAAACTTTAAATCTATTTGAATAAAACAAGTTTTACCGTATATGTCAGAATAAATGCTTGAAACTATTTATAACTTCCCAATTCCGACATAAGCATTTACCATCATAGGGTCAGTGACTCTTTGCGTTAGATGATTTTTTTGTTCGTCTCTTTTTTTTTTACTTGTGATACAAAATATTGTAAGCATACATTTCTAACAGAAATTTCTTATCTTTTTTATATTGATAAATTCTACATGAAAAGAATGAATTTACAGAAGCATCCTTAATGGTAAAGCTATTCTATTAAATAACCTAATCAAAAAACTGAGTTTATTACTTGTTTGTAAACATATGCATCTGGTAGTATCACCCGACGAATTACATAATCTTGATTTCCACAAAATTTCTCCTACTCAATTCAACGTTAATTATTTAGCATTCATTCTTCTACGTATAGAAAACTATTATTAGCATACAGTATATGTACGAGAAGCATGGAAAAAATTGTTTCCTTATAGAGAACAATAAAAAATGGTTTGTGATTTTCCCTTGAGCATATGTTTAACTATCGGGCTTTTATTAATAACGATAAATTTGTCTATCTGTATTTAAAAAAACATCGAAAAATTTTAATTTTAAAAAAATTATTGGTTATAAAAATTTTTAATATGTAATTCTGTAATCAGATTGTAACTCTTTGCATATACGACTATTCCATATATTGTATTTAGAGTTTAACAATACTAATTAATATAGCATCTTGCTTTTTACTGAGTTTTTATCATAAGTGCTCATATACTTTAGGATTAATTTCTCTTCACATCGTCATTTTTTTTACTGTAATAGGTTGATACATATGTAATTGTATGTCATAGTATCGGTATCAAATACTGCTGCTAATACTATTTCAAGTTCTAAATACTACCGTACTATATATATCAGATATACAGTATATACCAAATATATATATATATATACTATATATATATATATATATATATATACTGTATATATATACTGTATATATGCGTGTATATATAGCAGATACTGTAGCGTATCAGTACATATAGAGATATATTAACTGTATGTATTAAGACTAGTGTTGTAGCCCATGTGACTGTAATTACTTTGCTACAAAATGGGCAATTTCATTTCGACCTTTCGTTAAAGTTTTGTGCATTATGATAACTTTCCATACCTGATACACATCATCCGTATCATTCATACGCATGTACGACCTAATTATTTTAAATATATATATATTGTTTTTTATTTTAATATAAAATAGATTTTATTGGAAATGCTGAAACGCTCGTAAAATCACCAAATATATAAAAATGGTCCAATTAAATCTTCGCTATTTTAAATTTCTGAACTATTGTTTAACAAATCAGTTAAATTTAAATAGAGTATGTTACATCTTTTAATTTATTCTAAGTTGATCGACAATTTTGGTCTACTGTGTAGCAATAACTGACTTTTCAAATCCGGATGATTAGTGTCCCGCACGGATCGGATCGGACGGATATTTTCAAGGATCCGGATTCGATCCGAAAATTCGGATCGGGTCCAAGTATGGATTCGGATCCGTGTTTAAATAGACGGATTTTCGGATCCAGTTCGGATTTTACGCCTTTTATATATGACGGATCGGATCTCTGTGGATCCAAATTCGGCGAATCTTAAAAATCGTGGATCCGCTTGACGGATCCGGATCGGATCTTGCGGAACACTAAGGATTACGTCGAACGGAATATTAGATGTAACGTGAAAATATCGTCTTTTAAAAATTTTAGCATTATCGTTATCCAAATTTCCTTATTGTATATATAACAGACCTACGTATTAGCAGATTTTAACTCTTTTTTTCAAGTTTGCTAGTTTACTTTTTTTAATACGTAAAAATTTCATAAATTTTTGGTTTTGGCAAAAATTATACCCATGTTTCATATTTTTTGTATTCAGATCTGAGAAAATTTTTAAAAGTGCAGATTACGTTAGAATTTTCAAAAATATTAAAATACAGATACTGTATATGTAAAATTCTACAAATTTTTCTTCAAGATATGATATATATTAATTATTAAAGATCTGTGACAAAAAAATTACACTGGTGTAAATTAATAAATTTTCTAATTTATTTTACATTAACCTTCAAAAAATTTATAACTTTATTGGTGTAAATGTGATCCAGATGTTTTAGAAAATAATTTATTTAGCATATTGCAATATTAGGCCATACAAAAAAAATTTCTTGGTTTACATAACTCAAAAATTGAAAATTATAAATTTTTTTTAATTGGCCAATAGAAATAAGATCAATTCATATCGAGCCAAATTAAAAACTCTTTTAATTTTTAATAAAATGTGATCATCTAACAATTTTGTGAATCGCACAAATGCGAAATATATGCTAAATTTATTTCGCACGAGATATAACATAAGTATTATAATATTATTGCTATAGCATCTCATTATGACATTGCGGCATTACGGCATATAATATTTACGGTGATTAGATACTATGCCATAATTAATTCTACTACATGGTAAATTCCCGTAATTCAGTAATTCTACCGCCAACTATACTTCATTATTATTAATTTACCAGTAAGTATTAAGATTATTTATTAACTGGTGGAATTATCCATCTTTGCAAATCATGCTCAAATACTTATTCATAAACGATCATTCACCATTACCTAATACTCTTCAAGTCATCGGTGGAATTAATAATGTTCACAAATCATACGCATAAATCTATTCATAGACGCTTATTTACCACTTCTTAATATCCTTCATTCGCATTATACCTGTTTTCAAAAAGGTTTTATCAATTATAGACCATTATATTTGTGAGAAATCGCACGATTTCCTGATTTCACTGATTCTGCAAATAAGAGAATCAGGGAAATCGCGCAGATTTCTCATGTTATAATGGTGTGCACCTGGTTACACCTTTTTGAAAACAGCTGTAATTTAGTCCATGAGTATAAAGGTGATTTATTAATCAATGGAATTAAAAACAGCAAACCATGCTCTTAATTCATTTACTGTTATCTAATACTTTTAAATTATTTCATTCGCATTAATTTAGTACGTGAATAAGATAGTTTACTAATTGGTAGAATCACAAATCATGTTTATAAATTATTCATAAATATTTATTTGTTATTACAAAATTTAGTCGGGAAGTGTGAAGATGATTTATTACAGCTGTTTTCAAAAAGGTGTAAACGGGAACTCACAATATTTCCCAGATTTCAGAGTTTTTAAAGAACCGAAATTTAATTTTTACTAATCTAAATTTCCAAATTCCTTGATTTCCCACATAGGTATATGGAAATCGTTGTTCACACATTTTTGAAAACGGCTGTAATCAGTGGAATTAAAAACAGCAAATCATGTTCATAAATACATATTTAATTCGCATTATAGTGGTTTGCAAAAAGGTGTGACCTCTGCAGATCATGATGGCATGTAAAATCATGAGAAATCAGCCGATTCTAGTAGATTTTTTGATTCTTGGAGAATTTTAAAGATTTCGAATAAAATATAAACGTTATTGATTGGAAATTATGATAAATAGGGAATTAAAATCTCGGAAATTTTTCCACTATCATCATCACGAAATCAGGGTCACACCTTTTTGCAAACCGCCATAATTTAGGAGTCGTGTCATTTCAC